AATAAAAACATGTCTTAAATTTATTAAAGTTGAACTTTAAATTATACAAATAACGTTGTACTCATCGAAACATATTTTTTATTTGGTATTTTACACTAATAAGAATAATTTTATCAATTTAAAAGTTTCATTCAGTACATATTTTAACTTCTGGTATAACTTTGCGGCTCCAGGTAGTACTTTGGGGCTTTCCAAACAGAAATTTTGGATTTTTCCCCCCAAGCAACAATGTACATACCTTGCTATCAGTACTAATTTCTATATTGACATTTGTAAGATTACCATCTAATGTTCCAGGCATAACTTATGATCATTTCTGCTACTTCAGAATGTGCTTCAATGGAGATTGATTTGGGGCAATATTATCGAGAAACAATCTGCTCTGAGTAGTCGACCTTAGCGCTTCTTAACAGCATCCAAAGTCATTTCTTGTACAGCAGATATACATTTCAAGATCGCCGTTATGTATGTGGGTTTTCTTTTCCCTTTTCATCATGGCCCCAGTGTTCAACAAAGAGCAACGACAATAATCTTTCTTCTGCATTACAAGTAAATAAGCTTCTACCGTGGAACACAAATGCTTGGATGGAGAAAACAACTGTTTTAAATTGCGATGAATCATAATCACAATAATGCAGAAGATGAAGGTCAAATCAGCTTAAGCTTAGAAAGCTCAGTCAAATATGTGGTTTTAATTATCTTGTAATCCAAATAATAGGGTAATATCAGAATTAATTCTCCACCTCTCTCTCATATATATGGGACAAGTTGCATTTAGTATCAATTTGAATTCATGAAGAAAAACAAATAAGATTTCAAATATAGTTTTCATTGATTTAGGAGAAATCTTAGAATGCCTAGGGAAGTGTTGAAGGATGATAGGGGGGAAAAAAAAATCAATTTTTATTGGATATCAATTATGTTATGATGTGTACGATGGGGCAGTCTCAAGAAAGAGATCTAGTAGCAGTACAACTAGAAAATTTCCTATTACTATAAGCTCACCTCGATGTGTTGAGCATGAGTTCTTATATATTTACTCCAGTCACGGACTAGTTTATGAGACGGTCAATTTGTGATATTAATTGATGAAGATATAATTTGTAGTAAAACTTCAGAGGTGCACTTTGGAATCTAAAGGTCCTGAGTTATGTAGAACAAAGACGGAATATGAGGAATGCCTGTTTAGTCACAGTCGGAGTAAGGAAGATTTTGAAGTAACCACAGAGCAACATGTTATCCCAAAAATTGATCATTTTGGGCATAAAAGTTCAGTTATTAAATTAGAAAGTAGGATGTAATTTAAGAAATTAGAACATGTTGGATAATATAATTAAAAGTTCTGCAAAATAAATAGTTATCAGATGAGCTGTACTTTATGGTTTTGAAAAAGTTTTCAACAATAAGTATAATATCTTTAAACAAATATATCAAAGGAGGATGTTAAGACAAATGTATGCATCCCAGAATAGATAGACTCAATATATGCCGAACAGATAGACTGAATACCTGCCAATAAACGGAAGTAGTATAGATTATATACAGAATAATGAGGAAAGGACTCATTACATGGAAAGGGCATATCTTGCATAGACCTGAAGAAATATCCTTTGTGAGAGCAACATGATAGTAATAAAACAGGTTGGGAGAGGTAGATTAGCATTAGCAAGGCTTCGTGTGGTCATTCATGTGGTCACAAAGGGTTTGATTTTTGTAGACTTTCAGTAGCAGTAGCAAAACACTGACTGCAAGAGAAGATTCATGTGATGAAACCTTAAACCTTAGGAATAAAGCTTAGCTACTTGTTATTTGTTGCGCTTGAATTAACATACAGATCGTGAGCTAGGTTGTGGTCTTGTGCATGTGTATGCACATACACACATTATTGTGATGCAAGCATTGTGATCATGTGAAAATGTAAAGAAAAAAATCATATGACATGAAGATTGCAGAATGTACAAGTAACAATTTTATGGTGGTCGTTTGACTCTTCGACCTCAAATGTGAAGTCTGAAAAATTTTCACCATAAGAGAAATAGTAAGTAACGTTATCAAAGAGAATTTGCAGTGTAAATCTTGATTTCAATCATTTATAAAAAGCAATAATGTCCTAATACAATATTTATAATACTTAGGAAGAGGTGACGCTTCTTTTTAGACCAAGAATTATTTATTTATTTATTTTTTTGATAAACTTTAATTTTTGGATCAGCTTTAGAATAAATAACAGTAGAATTTTACCTTGTAAAAAAACAAGTGTTGAAATAACAAAAACCCAACAAAGATACTACAAGAATAAGCAATTCAGAATAGAGCAAGCATAGAATAAAGAGGGGAGAGCTAAAAGAATGAGTAAGGTCCGGTCCAAATCTACTTCATTATTAAGACCGGTCTCTTTATTGTCCCAGTCCTCTCTCTTTTGCTGTTTTAGCCATCATTGTAATTCATACAATAAGTTGTCTCAGGTAACATTACACACTACACCTAAAAACTGGAATTCTCGGTTTTGCATATCCTTTATTTCTTGATTCCAATGTTTTCTTAACTCTCAACTCTCTCTATATATTTGTTTAAACTAGGCCCATAAGATTCATTTGAGCCCAAAAAATAATCTTTTTCAAACACCAATGCATAATGTGTTCACTCCATAGTATTAACTAAATACTGTGCAGGTACTCCTTCCCTACAAGGACTCAATAGTCTTAAAATTTGGTTAGTCTATTTATATATTTCTAATATCAAAACTCAAGTGATAAATCCCACAGCTCATTCTCATCTCCAAAACTATCATGACCATGCATCAGAGTAAGAGAGAGAGAGAGAGGCAAAAACAAGATTTAACAAAGGCATAAAATTATAAAACAATATTCAGTACTAAAATCCAAAGGTGTACTGAGACAGTTAGCACATGCACTTCTTATTACTAGTGAGGATAACTAAATTGGACCAATCACTTGTCTCTTCAACTTGCAAAGGAACCTAGTTATGCTGCCGTTGTTTTCCTAACAATACAAAGTCAGCATAAAAGTTCGATTAGATTCCACCAGCTTACAGACAGAATAGTCCAGAAGATGCATGTGCACTCAGGCTCAAAACATATATGGGACAAACTGCAAATAGTATCAATTTGAATTGAAGAAAAGAAACAAGAACTGAATGTGGTTTTTATGGATTAAGGAAAAAGCTTATGGCACCTAGTGAAGAGTTATAGAGGATGATAGAAAGAAAATCGATTTCTAGGCATATTAATAGTGATAATCTAAGAAGCACGGATACGGATACGTAATTCGGGTACGATACGATACGGATACGCCAATACGACTTTTTTGAAAAACTTAGGATACGATACGTGTTATAAAATTCAACATAAATTTATTAATATTAAAAAACATTAGTACAAAAGCATTATGATGAAAATAAGTAAAATACCAAAGCACTTTAACTTAATCATTAATTGTAGAAATTTCATTTCCTTCAACATCAACTGCAATTTCTTCATTATTAATAGAAATAACAATTTTCAACTCTGGCCCATCTAATGATAGATCAGCAATCTCAAACAATTTAACACCTTCAAGAGTCTCAAAAGAGTTTCCAACAATGTCCCACATTTTGGATTCTCCTTTTGAATAGAGATTTAATTTTTTTTTTTTTTTTTGTTATATAAGACACAAATTGCTATAAAAGGAAACCAATTCTTCAACTTGTTGTAGAGTTATTTTATTCTTTCTCGTAGAGTGTACAAGAGAATATGGCACTAGATGAAGAAGAAGGTGCACAAGCAGTTTCAAAACAGTATTTTGTAGTGAAGGTGCATGTTAATCATGAAATATTGGATACGTATCAAAAATCATACAAAAAATATAAAATACATATGGGATACGTATCGGATACGTAAAAAATATAAAAATATATAAAATAATAAAAAACAAGTATCCGGTACGTATCGAAAGGTATCGGAGAGTATCGACGTATCAGATACGGGTACGTAACAAGTTTACAAGTATTGATGCTTCTTAGGTGATAATGATGCGTACAACGGGGCAATCAGAAAAGAGATTTGTCCAACTAGATAATGACTTGTTAGTACAGGCTTACATCAATGTTTTGAGCATGAGTTGTTATTGCTTTACTTCATTCATCAATAAGCTTATGAGACAAGTCCAAATTGAGATCAATTGGTGAATGTTATTTGTTAAAAACATAATTTGAGTTAACAAAACCAGGAGGGGCATTGTAAACTTTGGAATCTAAAGATTGTAGGTTTAATAGAACAAAGACAGAATCTTAGGAAAGTCTATGTAGTCCTAGTAGAAACTAGGGTGACTTAAGTTACTATAAAGGACCATGATATCCCAATAGTGATGAATTTAGGCAATTAGATTCATGTACTAATTACATTATTTACAGAGAATGTGATGCATGGAATTACATGTTGATAGTATGAACAAGCAGTAAAAAGCAAGTTCTACAAAATAGTTATTAGACCAGCTATAATTTATGGTTTTGAAAGTTAAAATTGTTAATAAATAAATATCCATAATGTAACTACAGCAAAAGAGGATGTGAAGACGAATGGATAACATAAGACTAGACACCAACAAGCAGAGGTGATATTGATCGAAAAAACAAGGAAAAGACTCCTTAGGCGGCTAGGGAATAGAGCTAAGAAGTCTCCTTCATAAGAGTATCATGGTCCTAATAGAACAGGTTAGAAGGGAGGTTATATCAACATTAGCAAGATGTGAGTTGCAAAGGATTTGATTTCATTATATATTTCATTAGCCATGGTAACTATTGACTGCATAAATTAAGGGCTTTGATCACTTGAATGGTATCCAGACAATTCATATTGTAAATATGACGGCATCCACAAAAAGATCAATGCCAGAACCAATTACATCAAATTTATAATACTAAATCAAACACTGATTTTGGTATATTGAATATTTAACAATAAAAAATATCAATGTGATATGCCATAGAGAAGGAAAAATGTACCTCGATACATTACTTTCGTTGTTGGTGAAGTTGACTCTTCATCGTTGAATGCCAAATCTGCAGATTTTTCACCATAAAAGAAATTATAAGTAATGTTATCAAAGAAAAAAGTGCATCATAAATATTGGATTCAAGCAATTCACAACATGAGAACAAGCACATAACAAAGGACACTGTTAAAAAGAATGCATTTAGTGCTACTTTACTTCATTATTAAGAATGATTTTGAATAACTAAAAATCCAAGAATAAGTTGTTTTAAGTAATACTATAATCCAAAAAAAAGACACCAAAAAGTTGTGCTTCTGGTTTTTCCTCACGTCATTTGGTTCCTGGTTTTAATGTCCTCTATTACCCTCAACTCTGTAATACATAGTAGAAACTAGGCATTGAGCCTCCTTTTATGCCTAAAATTATAATCTTTTTGAAGAACAAAGCGTACCGCTTGAGCTTGACAGGATAACTATTTTCTGTGAAGGTACTCCTTCCCTTAGATAACCCAAGTCTTAAAATTTAGTTATTTGTTGATATACTTGGTAAGAACAAAATTCAACTGTAAAGAATCTGGAGAAGATCCAGCAGTTCATTCCATTTCCAAAACTATCTTCATGCATCAGCTTAAGGAGAGAGATGAGAACTAACTAGATAAAACAAAAATTAAACAGTACTGATCCATAAAGAGATAGTAAGACAAGGAACTAGCACTTCATACACGGAGTTATGCAATTATTATTACTTATGAACACAACTGCATTAAATCAATGACTTTACTCTTCTTATCCTTGCTATGGATACTAGTACTATTTCTGTTGTTGACCAAGCAATACATAGTCACCATAAAAGTTCAGTCGCTTAGACCATCAGTGCACAGGCAGAAACTGTCCACAAGATGCATGTGCTATCTGTTCAGTAGAAGAATAATCTTTCATCCATTAAATTGGTTCATACAACCAAAGCTCACCTTTTTGAATCAATTAAAAGAAGATGATTCAATGTATCTACTCAATGAGTAATAGTGTCAAATCATTATCCAACAAGTAAGGTAATTATTCTCCACACTAACAACTACCTAAAGTTTCCAACACACGATATGTAAACTTTAGATCTAGCTGTATAAAGCTAACATATCAGATATTATGCTAGAATCATAATGACACAGAAATGATTGCAATTTAGGCACTTTCCAATCACAAACTGGAAGTAAAATGAAGCCTGATATCCTTTACCTGCAGGTTGTTTTCGTTTCATTTGAAATATGGGAGGTTTTTGACCTTCGAGAAAGAGCATTGAAACAACAAGGAACCACCGGTTTGAATTTCCTAGAACGTAGACAGCTCCATCATCCAAGAACTCTCAAGTAGTTATCACAATTTCACCAGTAATCATGGCAGGAGCAAAAGCCATCCTGGAAGTGATGAAACCGGTTTATATCTCTAATAACAATTTCTCTGTGCACAAATTTTGATATGGACTTAATTGCAGTATGGCAGTCCACGCAAATTCGAAGATTTTTAATAATGCGAATGGGGCTTCCTGGTGGTGTTCTGATAAGAGCAAAAGCTAAAGCTAATCTTTCACTGTGTAGCCACAAGAGACGCATCTTTTCATCCTCTTCCACATCAAGCAAAATAACATCAAGATTAGGAACATAACCAGCTGCATGGCCTCTAACTTTCATCCACTCTAGCATCCCACGAATTAGTTTCACGTCTGGATGTGAAACATCTCCAACAGCGAAATAGTGAACTGTGCCCTGGTTCTCAATCCAACTAAGTCCTGGTTCTTTCTTTACTCGTTTCTTCTTCATGTTTTTCCTGACAGATGCTACATTATCCCAACTTTTTGCCGTGGCATATATGTTTGACAATAAGACATAGGTTGCTTCGTCCTGGGGTTCCATCTCAAGCACACGCTCAGCAGCTATTCTTCCAAGCTCAACATTATTGTGGACCACACAAGCCCCAACTAAAGAACGCCATACCATAACACTGGGCTCAAGTGGAATTTCCTTTATTAACTTTACAGCCCTCTCAAGATGACCAAGTCGCCCAAAAAGTGATACCATACAAGTATAGTGCTCCATGCAAGGTTCAATACCATAATACTCTTGCATCAAACTAAAATAACCTTGCCCCTTTTCCAATGAACCTGTGTTGCTACATGCTGAAAGCACACCAACGAAGGTTAGTTGATTAGGTTTGATGTCTGTATTTCGCATATTCTCAAAGACTTCCAGTGCCTCACTGCCAAGACCATGCATGGAATATGCTGAGACCATTGAATTCCATGACACTACATCTTGGTTTCTCATTTTGTCAAAGACAATACGAGCATCCTTAATCCTCCCACACTTTGCATACATATCAACAAGAGCATTGCTGACAGCAGCATCTTGGTCATAAAGGGATTTAATAGTCAGTGCATGTATCTGAATGCCTAGCTCCAAGGCTGCCATACTGGCACAACCACGCAGAATGCTAGAGTATGTTACCTGGGTCGCTTTCACCTGCTCTGCAAGCATATTTAAAAACAGATGCAGTGCCTCCTCTCCATCTCCTAGTTGTACATAGCCAACAATCATTGTATTCCACGACACTTCATTTTTGTTTTCCAAGTCCACAAATAAATCCTCTGCATCCTTCATCTTTCCAGCTTTAGCATACACATCCATGAGAGCATTTGAAACAAACACATTCAGATCAAGACCAACCTTTAGCGCATGGCAATGCATTTGCCTCCCCAGTTCCAGAGCTTCTGTCGTTGCACAAGCTTGCAGCACACTAGCTAAAGTGAACTGATTAGGAGTAACCAATGCTTTCCTCATTTGAAGAAACAATCCCAAAGCCTCCTCACACAGGCCGCTCTGTGAGTACCGGGCAATCATGAAACTCCACGGAACCACATCATCTTTAGGAATCTCTTCAAATACCTGCCTAGCATCCTCAATGTCTCCAGACCTAGTGTACAGATCAAGCAATGAAACACCCACATAACGATCCATCTCATAACAAGTCTTTAAAATAAAGCCATGAACACATTTGCCAGCACTAACAGCCGCAAGTCCAACACATGCCTTAATCACACTTGCAAAAGTAAAATTATTCGGCTTCAACCCTACCATCCTCATTTTAGTAAATATATCCAATGCCTCTTTAAAACAATCATTCTCAGCATAACAAGCCACCATCCCTGTCCATGAAATCATGTCCTTTTCAACAATCCCATGGAACACTTCTCCAGCAACATCCACAAACCCACAAACGGAATAAGCATCAATAAGTGCAGTACCAACAAAGGCGTTAGCATTATGCCCAAGCTTACATATACAAGCATGAGTGCACCACGCAAACTCTGACCACTCCATACTCACAAGAACCTTCAATATTGTAGTGAATACAAATGAATTAAGCTCATGACCTTCCCTATGTAACCTAACAAACAACTCAACTGCCTCAATGTACTTTTCTGACTGGGAAAACCCCTGTATCAAGGTAACAAAGGAAACCATGTTTCTTTCCGGCATTTCATTGAACAGATTAACAGCATCAGCTAACAGCTCATTTTTCACATAGAAATGTAGTAAAATATTGCGTGCAAATAGGTCTAAACACCCACCTCTCTTTAAAATGTGGCAGTGAAGGGCTTTTCCAGTGGTGAAATGGTAGTCTTTCACGCAATTCTGGAGCATGACCGCATATACATGGGAATCGAACTCTGAAGTTAGGAATCGTACTGTGTGCTGGTCTTGGGATATTTGCGCAGCAAGAGATGAAAATGTTGACGTTAACAAACGGGAAAAACAGTGGGTTGGGGAGGATATCCATGGCATGGCGTTGTATAATTTCTGTCTAATCATGCGTTCTAACAAGAAAATATTGAAGTTCGTCTTTCTTTCGCTGAAACAACAGTTTATCCTTTTAAAATTTGATTTTTAGCAGAAACTTAAAGGGTAAAAAATACTGGTACTCAGGATCGCTGAAAATATTGTTCACCAGCCAATAAAATCTGGAAATGTTGTCATTTCCCGCCAAGCAAAATAGTTGAAAATGCTGTTCCGGGCCATAAAAGGCTGAAAATACTGCTCACCAATTCCACCAAGCAAGCGGCGGCGGGTGGCTCCCCCAAACCTTTGCTGCCACTGATTCCCTCTCCAGCCAAGCAGACGTATACGGTATATATTGTCGTGGGGCCTTACAACTGTAGGATCAGTTTGACCATAAGTGTGTGATTGATTGCAAATATGGAATTTAAGTAAAAAAAAACGAATTATAAGAAATTAAATTGTCTAGAAATTATTTTTTTGAGAATTATAAATTATTGTGTTTGATTAGTATAATTTTTTACGTGAAAAAAATTGAAATAAAATTATTTTTTGTATTCGTTTGGTTTTGTTTTACATGAAAATTGTTAATTAAAAGGATGAAATTTATTGGTATTGAGGATAAAATTTGTTTTTATTGCCAAAACAAAAAAAAAAATTCAAGAAAATTATCTATCTTTTAGTGTTCGTTTGTCTTTGTTTTACATGAAAATTGTCAATTAAAGGAAGATAATTGTTTTACAATAATGCTTAGAACTTGTTTCCAAAAAAAAAAAAAAAGAGTCAACAGTACAAAAGCTAGAAAATTACAACTCCCAAGAAATCCAAGAATTTAATTTCCATGGAAAATAAAACACTATCAAACACACAAAAGTTGAAAATTGGCATTCTAATTCCATTTTTCCCTAGAAAATTGGTGCCTATCAAACGGTGCCTAAATTTAAGGTGATTGGATTACTTAGAACTTGTTTGATTGAAAACTGTCAATTAAACGTATTTAATTAGTATAATTTTTTACCTAAAAAATGTTAAAATTTTGGCTTACAAAAATGAAATTTGGATGGAAAGAAAACAAATTTTAGAGAATTTGATTGCCCAGAACTTGTTTTATTGAGAATTGTCAATTAAATGTATTTGATTGGTATTATTTTTCAACTAAAAAATGTTGAAATTTTGAATTTTTTTGTGTTCATTTGACTATTTTTTTCCATGAAAATTGTAAATTAAATGGATAGATTTTTTTTATAATGGTTAATAGAATTTGTTTACATTGCCAAAATAAATAAATAAACTATAAAATCCAATTCTCGCCAAAACCAAATGAAATGGAATTCCTTAAGAATCAAGAAAATGACATCACGTGTGGGAGAAGTGGAAAAGTAATTTCATGGAAATTTTTGGTCTCCAAACAACACAATTGGGTGTTATTTTTCAGGGAAAATAAAGGTATCAAACATGTCTTAAGTGTCATGCCTCATCTCCAATTGATTTTGGTTGTAAACACTTTTATAGGGTGTTTGATTCTTATTTTTCTTAAAATATATTTTTCTTTCTCTTCTTCTCAACCACATATTCTTTATTAAAATAATATTACACACAAATTAAAAAAAAATCTTTATCTTTAACCACACATTCTCCATCAATCTACTATTTTAAAATACATTTTTAAAAAGAATGGGCTCAAACACACATTTAATATGTTTAATGCATTAAATTTTGGTAAAATCTATTATTTATTTAAATCTATATTCTTATAAATAATATTAAATAATAGAGTTCGTAGATTCAAGTTTCAGTAATTTGTTAATCACAGGGAGTTGTGATTATGAAATACAAATTACATATGATTGAATGTTAAATGATTTATGGTCGTAAGTAATAACGAGATACGAATATTGTTATTACGGATAGGATAGTGCTACATGTACCCATTGGTTCACACAATGGTTTACATAATCTGATGTGGCAATATTTTGACCTTTTGAAAATGAAAATCTCGTTGAACCTGAGAAATTGGATTTTGTTGTAAATGTTAAACCTCAACTCTACCATTTGTCCACCATTTTGCTCACCATTTCACCTCTCTTCCAAATCCCCTCCCCCCACAAAGGCGACTGAGAAATGGAATGAGGGGAAAATCCATCCGACCCCGCCGGGAACATCGATGCCGGCGACGATGTGACAGTGAGCCCAACCCCGTTATCTGCACTGTTCGTGATTCACCCGAAACCCAGTTATTGTAAAGATGAATATGAAATGGAAGGAGGCAACTCCGACGGGGCAACATTGATTCCGACAATAACATGGGTAACATTTCTTTTTCATAATCTTGATATGTCCAGATACCCTAGATTTTCTTCCCTGGCAGTATTGTCAATCCAAGAATTTGTATTTTTTGACCAATAGTTTCTACAATCATATTCATTACAAAATGTAGAGCGTGAAATGATTTTGTCAATTGCACCGGGAACCAACAATTTATTTGCATGATAATTACACATTATTCAATTATTTATGACTTTTTTATTTAATTATTTATGGTGAATTAAGTGATAGTTAATCTAGTGTACAATATGTTAATTATAGGTAAATCTTAATTTAGATGCAGTTTATGAAATTGAAGTGAAATATGAGAGATTAGACCTTAATTGGAGTTCATTCGAATCATTTGAAGATGAGCCAGATTGCAATTGACCAATTGAACATATTAATGGAGCAATCAGATGATATTTATGAGTTCAGAAAGATAAATACATTCTTTAGTCCAATAATTGAAAAAATGCTTATTTTGATTGTTGTTCATTCTTTAGTACAATCATATCCATTACAAAATGTACAGTGTTTCCCTCCAAGAGTTCTTATTTTGATTGTTGTTCTTCCTGTCATGAATGTAGGTATTTTGGAAATCTCTTCATCCGAAGACGATAATCCGAATGACATGAGTTTACGAGAAGGAACCGATATTATTGTGCCTAGTGTTGGAATGAAGTGTTCGAATTTTACAAGAACTAGGCATACCAAGTAGGATTTCTGGTGAGGAAAAGAAATTCAAGGAAGGGTGAGGATGGGGTTGTGCATTATATCACTTTCACATGCAGTCGGGAGGGCCGTCATTCAATCCTGAAGCCTCAACCAACAATACAATCAGGCTGTAAAACAAGATTGACAGCATGTTCAGATCTTAGTAGCGCATGGCGTATTAACACTGTTCAACTGGAGTATAATCACAAAACAAGCCCGTCGAAATCAAGGCTATATCGCGGCAATCGAGAAATCAGTGCACGTGTGAGAAGACAGCTTGAAATAAATGACGTAGCTGGTATACCATTACATAAGAGTTTTAACTCAACCGTGGTTGAAGCCGGTGGTTATGAAAATATTACGTGCATTGAGAAAGATTGTAGAAATTTCATTGATAAAGTCCAACGGTTAAGACTGGGTGAAGGAGATGCTCTTGCAATACAAGCTTATTTTACGAAGATGCAAGCATGCAGTCCTGGTTTCTTCTTTAGCATAGACTTAGATGATGAGGCCCGACTGCGGAACGTGTTCTGGGCAGATAACAGGTGTAGGCAAGCGTGCAAGAAATTCGGTGATATAGTTACATTTGACACCACGTATTTGACTAACAAGTACGAGATGTCTTTCGCTCCTTTTGTTGGGGTAAGCCATCGTGGACAATCAACTCTACTTGGATGTGGCTTGCTCTCAAATGAAGACACAAGGACCTTTGTATGGGTATTTGAAACTTGGCTTGAATGTATGCGCGCTCAAGCTTCATGTGGGATAATTACAGATCAAGACCGTACTATGCAAAATGCAATTGAAATCGTGTTTCCAAACACAAAGCATAGATGGTGTCTGTGGCATATTCTGAAAAAGTTACCAGAAAAATTTGGGGGCCATAGACATAAAGCTTCCATTATTGCTACTATTCATGCGTTGGTATATGATATGCAAAGTTGCGAGGAATTTGAACAAGGATGGAATAAGATGCTCGTTGATTATGACTTGCTAGAACATGCTTGGTTGACCAGCCTGTACAATGAAAGAGGTCGATGGGTACCATGCTTTTTGAAAACCTCATTTTGGGCCGGTATGTCAACCACGCAACGGAGTGAAGGTATTAATGCATTTTTTGACGGCTATGTTCATTCGAAAACATCTCTCATAGACATAAAGCTTCCATTATTGCTACTATTCATGCGTTGGTATATGATATGCAAAGTTGCGAGGAATTTGAACAAGGATGGAATAAGATGCTCGTTGATTATGACTTGCTAGAACATGCTTGGTTGACCAGCCTGTACAATGAAAGAGGTCGATGGGTACCATGCTTTTTGAAAACCTCATTTTGGGCCGGTATGTCAACCACACAACGGAGTGAAGGTATTAATGCATTTTTTGACGGCTATGTTCATTCTAAAACATCTCTGAAGCAAGTCTGTAGAGCAGTATGAGCGTGCCTTGAGAAGTAAAGTTGAAAAGGAGTTCCAAGCGGACTTCAAATCATTTTCACAAATGGCCCCATATGTGACAAGGTACGAAATGGAAAGGCAATTCCAATTAGTTTACACAATCGCGAAGTTCAAGGAGTTTAAAGAACAATTTACTGGAAAGGTGTATTGTGAAGTCTTAGGACTTCATGAGACGTATTTACATACTACGTACGATGTACGTGAGGACATTAGTATGAACAACTGTATGAAGACAAAAATCTTTAAAGTGTGCTTTCGTAGAGATGAATGCAAGTTTGAATGTAGTTGTCACCTGTTCGAGTTCAGAGTAATTATTTGCAAGCACGCGATAACGATTTTGATTCGAAACCAAGTGCACTTAGTTCCTGAGAAGTACATTTTGAGAAGATGGAGAAGGGATGTGAACAGATTGTTTATGAGGGTTCCGATTACTTATGATGGTTGGATTAGTACTCCAAACCAAATTAGATATAAGCAAATATGCAATGCATTTATGAAGTTAGCGGACTTCGTAGCACACGATGAGTTACGGTCACGTGGCATCATGGACTGGATTGAAATCCAAACAAATGATTCTTCAATGTTGAAGTATAGTAGCGTGGGCTCTCAACGCTTGGATGAAGCCGGAAAGTGTGCTAGCGGAATCATCTTCGACCCTAAATACACAAAAAGCAAGGGAGCTCCTAAAAAACTTCGCCGAAAGGGATGTCTAGAAGCTGGTTCTAGAAAATCAAATATCAGTCGAAAGGTATGATTTCGAGCAGAATTCTTTATTTTGATAATCACTGTACAGATTGAACTGAGTGCGTTCTCCATGATTTACAGATGGCAAACTCAGCTACATGGAACAGGGAAAAAGACAAAGTTTCATCCTCATTAAATGTTCAGGTGCACTTCTTGTTGCAACGAGATCTCTTGTATATATTTCTGGAACCTTCATGACTGGTTTACTGGGCGATTCAATTGAAACACCCAGTGAAGAGCAGAATAATCCTGGAAAACGAGTTCATATAATGTTCAATGTTCCTTTGCTTTTAACTATTCTCTTTGTTCAAGATGAATCCCTTTATCTTGGTAGAATAGTTCAGTAATGAGTTAAGTTGTTGTTCGATAATGATAATTGGTTGTTTGGAATCAATTTGTACTAGAAAAGCTGATAACAATTTAGTATCTACGGAGGCAAACATCTTTTAGTTTGTGTTCAATCTGTCCCTTGCATTCATTGTTCTCCAATCAACTAAGTTCATTTTAGGTGGACAGATTTGAACGAATGGTTTCAAGTTGACAAGATGATTCACGGTTGAATTTGAATTGAAAGACCAGTAGCAGTAGCCATTGGATAAATTATAGCATGTGAATTGATGAGATTTGAAGTCGTAGTCTCGAATCCTTTACACTTTTTGGACGATCCAATAAACTGCGGGTTTTAAATCCTAGGCCAGACATATCATGTTTTCAAGGCATATTTTAGATTTTAAATGTTGTTCAAGCAAGGGCACTGCTAGAAATTAATGGGCACAACTTGCATTTGTGTTATACATTTCAAATGCTGGATTTTTAAACCTAAGGATTATAACCAATCATTAGAGCCTCTGTTGACTCCAATAACATTACGGCTTTACTATAGTGATTGCATTTGTTTAATTGTTTGTCCTTCCACTCTATGATATAATCTTTTGTTTATGTAAAAAGTTTTGTAACCAATTCTGCCTATTTAATTGGTGTTTGAAAAAAATTTATCTATAAGAAACCTTTATAAATTTATCTATAAGAAAGCAATTTCTAGCCCCGCGTTCTGTATTTATTTGCCTCAATGACTTGCCATACGTCAATGGTTTTTTAATGAATTCCAATTTCGCAGGAGATCGGCACGCAGGAGAGCATTGGAGATTTTGATTAGAGCTGGGCAAATCTCCCGAACCGAACTGACCGAACCGAACCTGACGGTTCTTATCAAATTAAATACCCGAACCGGTATCTGAATTGAGAACCGACGGGTACGATTCGATTCTCTGTTTTAGACCAAGAACCGAAGAACCAAATAAGAACCGAATATTTCTAATTTTTTTTATATTGAATAAATCAAATTATTTTAATTTTAATTTTTTCTAAACAAATTAACAAATTCTAAATTCAAATTTTTGGCCCAATAATTTGTTTCATTTCTAATTTTTTAATTTTTGGCCCAATTATCCATTTTATTGTCTCATTTCTTAGCCCAACAAGATCCAACCCACTAAATAACCCTAAACACCTATACTAAAGTGCATAACGCTGTCTCGACTCTCACAACCTCGCTGACATTCCAAAACCTATACAATCGTCGACCGACGCTGTGACCTCCGATCGAAGTTGTGACCTCCGCCAACCGAAATTTTGACTGTAGCGATCATTTGAACAAGGCAGTCTACTAGTCTTTGACATTTCAAAACCATTGAACGTGTCATTGGTTGTATTTATATAATGTTGTTATAAATGTGAAAAAATTTAATTATAGTACAGAACTGAACGGAATGGAACCGAACCGAACTGAATCGAATGGAACCGAACCCGAACGGTTCCATAATTATATTTGGACTCGACGGTTCCATTTACTAAATACCCGAAAATTTTGGTTCGGTTCGATTCTCTTTAGAACCAAACCGAACCGACACGTGCCCATCCCTAATTTTGATGTAGGGGTTTAAAAGTCCAGTACATTTATATGTAGGAGTTGTTTTTTGATGTACAAGTTTTAAATTCCAGCATTTGATGTAGTTGACTATTGTGGAATCTTCGTAATATATTTTTGATGAGTTTTATATTAGGTACAGCATTGATTTTCTGTAATTTAGCATAGGTTTTCAATTGAACCACTCAATGAATCATAGCTACATTTCTTCTTCTCAGTAATATTAACAGCGTGTATTAGGGAAATTAGATTAAATGTGTATTTTGCATGGGTTTTCAGTTGTTGCACCAACTTGCATTCCATGGGTTGACTGATGTGCATGATGGTAGATAGTTTAATGGGTTTTCAGTTGTTGCACCAACTCACCACGCCAACAGATGGAATTTCAGAATGGTGTGCATGATGGTAGACAGTTTGATGGAATTTCCAATGAAACTCGAGTTTACTGAGTAAAATAAGATCAAGATTGTAATGATGCCATGAATTGTAAAATAACATAATTGGGTAGACAACCAAATAAGCAATGTACTGCAACATGAAACTTGATTGAGAACACTTGTAATAGTTCACTACACACAATGAAAACTGCTCTAGATCAAGACACCTTAACAAAAAATGTGCTCCAAATGTGTACCCATCACTGCAATTTTAAGTACAATAAGTTGAACCTACTCAATTACATACATTTCATTCTATATCTTCCGAAACTCGTTTCCCTTTGCATATGGTGATGTTGAATGAAATCTCCAAGTTTCTCCCCTCGGTTATTTTTGCACACGTCATCAACATACGGGACAAATCGTCGACCGGTTCACTTCCGTTGGTAGTGCCACTTGATTTACCTTGCAATGAAAACTCTTTATACGATGGAATGTTAGAAAACTTGAAAAGTCGATAGTTGCAGGTACAACTATGGAACAACGGCCCTTTATTATCCGAAATCTTTTCTACCTCCAACCACCTAACGAAGCCCTAGCCACAGTTTGGGCATTTAATCTTTTTTGGACATTCTGGCAACACGTGTCCCACAATCCTACAAGAATGACATAATCCCCTGTTTTGGCCACCCATAGCACAATCCTAATCCAATAAAAAAAATTAATCAAGTGCCAAAAATAGCGAATATGAGTAAAGAACAGAGACATTAGAAAATTTTTATCATTCGTCCAGCTTCATGTTTAACGAATCAAAGACGATAAAAATAATCTTGTTTACCATATATCTTGTAGTTAGGATTTGGGAAAATGAAATGTAAATACTATATATGCTTCTTGAAAGAAAAGTAAATGTAACAGATGAAAGATGTGCAAAAAACAGAGTAGATAGTGCAGAGAGAGTCTAAAAGAGAGAGTAAGGAAAGAGAAATTGTGAGTATTCATTGTAAAGAGAGCGTCTGAAGAGAGAGGAAAGAGAGAGAAATTGTCATTTTCTTGTGAAATGAAGAGAGAGGAAAGAGAGAGATATTTTGACCAGACTACACCTTTTTTTGAATTCAAATTTATCGCCACGTCAGCATTGTGTACAAGATTCGGGATTTCATTGTGTACATTTAGAATTTTCCTTACGGATATAGTATCACGTGTAGCATTTTTTACTTGTGAAGTAAATAGTTGATCTCACGAGCTAAAATGTGGTGACACTTATATGAACGCGTGGATGTTTTGTTATAGAACAAAACATTGAAGACCCATTGGGAGATTCCACATATAATATTAAATAATAGAGTCCGTAAATTCAAGTTTCAATAATTTGTTAATCACATACAGTTGTGATTGTGAGATACAAATTACGTATGATTGAATGTTAAATACTCTATAGTCGTAAGTAATAATGAGACACAAATATTGTTATTACGGATAGATTATCACGTGTGGCATTTCTTACTGTGAAGTAAGAAGCTGATCTCATAAGCTAAAGTGTGGTAACACTTGAATGAATACGTGAATGTTTTATTATAAAACAAAACATTGGAGACTTGCTGGTAGATTCCACATAGATAATTATCTGAGTGTCAGTGGTTAATCTCTAATGTTCGATAGTAGAATTGGTTCTTTAACTTGAAGTCATCATGTTACCTTGTATGAAGGCGATCATACTTTGGTGATATTTGATGTTGCTCTGCATATCGTTTGGGTATGTCAAGAATCGTATGAAGGTTGTGAATGACTAATAGATGATTCGTCACACTTAGACATTAAGAGATTATGATCTAAATTTCATTCAATTAAGTCGATAACGAAATTCTTGATCAAGGTATACTTAGAAGTCGAAAATGAGTTTTTGACTTATATTGACTTAGCCCTTGTTTGTTTGCCATTTGTTTTTCCATTTTAGAAGAAATTGGACTGTTAATTGACCCCACAAAGCCTTTTTTTGACTAGCCTCTCACATTGTGTAAAAAATCCTGGCTTCCAACGGTCAAAAAAAGCATTGTTATGTGCTAAAAATGGGAAACAAACATACTTTAATAGTAGAATGAAATATATGATTGATAATCGAGATTAGCACACTTCCATATCTTATAATAATTTTGATTTTGTCATACCACATGACATTTTTCATCGTGATTGGGAACTTGTTGGATCACACACAATAATTCACATTATTAGGTATCGTGATTGGGAACTTGATGGATCACACACAAAAGGAGAATTAAAAGATTGTGATTGTCAATTAATTAATTTAACAAGCATCGGATAAATTTTAATTGGGCTGTTCATTTTTATATGCCTCAATGAATTAATTATGATTAATTAATTCATGGATCGGATTTAATTAAATGGATTAATTAAATATTGGATCAGGTCAGGAGACAAGCCAAGCCCGTTTAATAAATAAGTGGTTAGGGATTAGAATTTGTAGAGGATTTTATTTTCTTGCTAGCACAAGAGAAAAAAATATTGGTTCCGTATAATCTTGTTCTCTGTTGGAAATTTCATTGAAAACTAGACAATTAGATAGCTGTGGGTGGCAGATCAAGGTTGCTGGAAGAAAAGAAAAGCAAAGGAGTTTGCAATTTTTGCAAAATGTGTAATTTCTATCACAATTTCTACCTAAATACAAATCAGATTCCTGGTGAGAATTGAAATCTGTTTTATTTTCCGCTATACATGATAAGTAAATTCCCAACAACAACAATATGTTGGTGTGGCCTGAAATTTTTGAAAAAGTTTATGTTGTGACATTTTTAATCATTATTTTCAAAATACATTTTTCTCTCTTATTTTTAATAACATTCTTCGATAAAATAATATTACACACAAAGTTAAAATTTTTTCTTATCTGGCTAATCACGTTATCCTCATTCACCTCATTCAAATGACACTATATCATATGAAACTATACAAAACATAGGATTATAGGGTTAGAAATAGTAAATATTCTTATACCATACAGCCATGATAACGTGAGAGGGTAGTTTTCAACAAACATGCCCAAAAATGAATAAACCAAAAACATGTTTTTATCCTTTCTTACGAGAAGAGCAATCAACTACACGGAAGCAACGAATATAATTCCAAAATTATCAATCTTTTGTTTTTGTTTAATTCGTGCGGACCATCATCAACCTGCAAAAAATTATTTCTCATAAGAGTTGTTCAAGCATTAAAGCACTCGTATTATTACTATGTCGAATTAGGGTTAAGGGGTTGAAGAAGTTAAAGAGAAGACTTTGGCATTGTAATAGGGATAGGAAACAAAAGAGAAGATTGAAAAAAAAAATTAGAAAAGTTGGGTTATTGCATTGTGCTTATGTACAATAGTAATGGTTGTGTTGTCAGGGCAAAGGAGAATTCCATACTCAAGTAACATGAGTGTGTATGTGAGAGAGAGATTTTGTGCTTGAAAATAAGTTATTCAAGCCATTCGATCGAACTAATTGGTTAAAATATGAGGTTTTGTAAGGGATAATGGCCCCGTGGTCGCCAAACTTTGTCCTTAATTGCAGATTATATCACTAAATTTCAATTTAGTTGCAATTGTATTGACAATCTTCTTCAAATTGGCAACAATTTGTTCTAATTTAGGCTTTGTTTGCCTTCCATTTTTTCACATTCTATCACTTATTTTTTCTACAATACTCATTTTCAACCACTTTATTAAAATAATATTACACGTAAATAAAAAAAAATTTCTTTTTTTTAATCACACATTTCAACATCAATCACTATTTCATAATATATTACTCATAAATAATGAGGCACAAACAAGCACTTAACCTCAATTCAAACGACAACTAAAAATATAATTCAAATCCAGTCAAGTTATTGATATAGCCAAAGAACTGGATCAATGGATAATTAATTCAACTGGTGGGTTATTGCCGATTGAAAAGTACAAACATTTCCCCCCTTTTTAAAGGCATAGATATAACTATAAATACAGGACTTTGATTCTTAATAAAACACATAAGTCTATTGACTTCTCTCTATTCTATTCTCTTCTCTCTCTTTTTTTTTTCACTTTTATAACACGTTATCAGCACGATAACTTAATTTTTCAAAGTTTAGTGAATGTAATAATTTTTATAGGTAGGAATATTTCTCACGTATACCTAAATTAATTTGGTAGCATGTGAATTCTATTTATACATACGCATTAACTTGTGCTTTGTCCAATTCAAATCTAATACGTGTTTCACGGTACCAATAATAAATTGAAGGCTCTTTTGTCCACTACAATTACATTAATTTCTACCTCTTAATTTTACTTCTTGGTTATGTGGCAGTCAATTGTATGGATTTTTGTAAATCCATTTATTTAAATCATATTCAGGCGTTGCAATCATTAGATGTATAAGAATTTGTCTTTAATCCATGTCTTCACGTGTGGCACAACCTCTTGTTTTCAATTTTCGAATATGAGTTTGCGTCAATTTAAGTTAATTTGCGCAGTAACAATTTGTACTTTGCTTTAATTCATGTATATGAATTATTAAATATTATTTACTGTGTAACATGTGTAGCATTAGATGTATTCATTTATGTAATTCTTTCTTTAATTTTTTATGGATGTAAAATATATGTTTATGGTAAAGAATAACTTTAAAGCATATCTTTTCAAGATTTTTATTTTTTTGTAATACATATTTGGTAATTAATTGTAAAATATAAATTCATATCCAAACTATTTGGTAATTATTTTTTTAGTTGTATGATAATTAATATTCTTTAACTTGATTAAATATTTGTGTTGTTCTATCATAAATTTTGAATTAATACTTTATCATGTTATTGCTCCTGAAGTAGAACAACATTATAATTAATATTCTAGAAGAGTATTAATCGAAGATCTATTGATTATAATTGTTTGTTGATGCTCCTGAAGTAACACAATATTATAATTAATATTCTTGAAAAATATTATTTGCTCCTGAAGAGCATAAATTATATTTTTTGATATTCCAGAAGAATATTGACGTATTAATCTTGAAGAAATAATAATAAAATACAACGTGCTTCTGAAGTAGCATATGTTTCGAATAATATATTATTTTAGTATTTATCCCTGAAAGAAAACACGTAACTTATGTCAAGTTAATATTGACTACTTGATTAATTATTATATGAAGTTTAATCATATTTTTCGAAACTAATTATATTTTCTTTTACTTTATTGTGTAGTTAATCAAATAACAAACATCACAAAACTCGAGTTTGCTGTACTTGACATCTCTGACAAAAATTATTTATCATGGGTACTTAATGCTGATATTTATCTTGTCTCAAAAGGTTTAAGAGAGACAATAAAAGAAGGAAATAAAGAATCACTGCAAGATCGTGCAAAAGCACTCATCTTCTTTCGTCATCATCTTCACGATGGACTGAAAATTGAATATCTTACTGAGAAAGATCCACATGTTCTTTGGAAAAAATTAACTGAAAGATTTGATCATCAAAGGACTATAGTCCTCCCCAAAACCCGTTATGAGTGGATGCACCTTCGTTTGCAAGACTTCAGAACTATTAGCGAGTTCAATTCTGAATTGTTCAGAATATATTCAAAATTGACATTGTGTGGAGAAAAATTACTGATGAAGGCATGTTGAAGAAAACTTTTTCCACCTTTCACGCCACGAATGTGCTCCTGCAGCAGCAATATCGCGAGTGTGATTTCAAGAAGTACTCAGAACTTATATCTTGCCTGTTTGTTGCTGAACAGAATAATGAACTGCTGATAAAAAATCATGGGTTACGTCCAACTGGTTCTATACTATTGCCTGAAGCAAATGGTACTGTATTGCTTGAAGCAAATGCAATATCAAGACAAGGACACGGACACGGACGTGGACATGGATTTGGATGTGGACGCGGACGTGCACGCGGAGTAAACCATGGACAAAATAATCGACAAAGTTATCAACAATAAGACAACAATTTCAAAAGGCACAAAGTAAATGAAAGTAGCACACCTAAAAAGGTACAATGAAGAAAGTTATTTTAAATGTGGAATGAAAGGGGCATTGGACACGTACCTGTCGTACGGCAAAACACCTTGTGGATCTCTACCAAAAATCAATTAAGGGAAAGGGAAAAGTGGAGACAAATTTTGCTGACTATGATGGTCCAATTGATGTGACTCATTTGGATGTCTCCGATTTCTTTGCTGATCCAAATGGAAATATTGACCATTTGATTGAGGGTAGTGTGATGGAAGATATAGATTAGTTAGTTGTTTTTTTTTTTATATTTCTAGTATTTCCTTTTATTTTAGAAATTTAGTTTGAAATATGTTTTTACTTTTCGCCAAAAAATTTGAACTTTATTATCAATCGTTAATTTCACAGTATTAATTATGTTTATCATTTTGAATTTAAATTCAAGTTTTTTAAAATATATTTATTTTGTTATATTGATAGATTGATGATGGATTGTCAAAACACCTGCTTAATTGATAGTGCAACCGCACATACTATTTTTTAAGACAAAAAATATTTTTTGGACTTAACATTAAAATAGAATAATGTCAATACAATATCAGGTGTATCGAATATCGTTGAAGGTTCTGGAAGAACTTGTATTATTTTACCAAATAATACAAAATTATATATTAACGATGTACTTTATTCTAATAAATTCAGAAGAAATTTGCTTAGTTTTAAAGATATCTGTTGCAATGGATATCATATTAAGACGACACAAGAAAATAATATCGAATATCTTTGTATAACTTTTTTTGTATCTGGTCAGAAGCAGATAAAAAAAAAATCATACACTCCTATCTGGCATGTACTATACATTTATAAAAATGGTTGAATCAATAATGTCACGAACCAGAAGTTCGTTGACAAAAAAAGTTTTATACTTTGGCATGATCGACTTGGACATCCAGAAGCTATAATGATGCGTCGAATAATAAACAACTCACATGTACATCTTTTAAAGAATCAGAAGATTATTTTACCTAATGCTTATCCATGTGTAGCTTGTTCACTAGGCAAGTTAGTTATTAGATCTTTAACTACAAAGGTCAATATTGAATCTCCAACTTTTTTGGAAAGAATTCATGGAGATATATGTGGGCCAATACATCCACCATGTGGACCATTTAGTTATTTTATGGTATTAATTGATTCTTCCACTAGATGGTCACATGTTTGCCTACTTTTCACTTGGAATGTAGCCTTTGCTAGACTATTTACTCAAATTATAAAATTACGAGCATAATTTACCAATTACTCAATTAAAACTATTCGCTTTAACAATGCTGGTGAATTTAGATCACAAGCATTCGATGATTATTTTATGTCAATCGAGATTATAATTGAACATTCAGTTACATATGTCTATACACAAAATGGTTTGACAGAATCGTTTATTAAGCGTCTACAACTTATTGTTAGATCATTACTTATGAAAACAAAACTCATAGTTTCTGTTTGGGGTCATGCCATACTACATATTGCATCATTGGTTCGTATTAGACCAATTGCCTATTATCAATATTCACCTTTGCAACTGGCATTTGGTTATGAACCTAATATTTCTCACTTACGGGTCTTTGGTTTTGCTGTCCAAGTTCCTATTTCACCCCCACAACATACTGAAATGGGTTCCAGTGAAAACTTGAAATTTATGTGGGTTTTGATTCACCATCAATTATTAGGTATTTTGAACTTTTAACGAGTAATTTATTTACTGCACGTTTTACAGATTGTCATTTTGATGAAATGACTTTCCTAACTTTGGGAAGGAAAAACTACATCCTGAAAAATAAGGTAAAATTTCTTGGAATGAAACAACTCTACCTCATTTTGATTCCTGTAGCAATCAATGTGAGCAAGAGGTTGAAAAAATTATTCATTTGTAAAGAGTTGCAAATCAATTACCTGATATATTTGTTGACACAAAAAAGTGACAAAGTCATATGTCTAGCAGAAAATATTCCAACAAAAATTGATTTTCCTGTAGAACAATCTGCTGTAACAAATGAATCTCAAATACGCCAGAACTGTAGTCGATCAGTTAGTTCAAAAAACTCTGCACCTCGAAAAAGAAAAGCACATGAAAAAAATCAACCAAAAATTTCGGAAGAAATTACATTAGAAAAGATTGATCAATCAGATATTAAAAATACAGTTCCTGAAAAACTACAAGTGTCCGAAAATAATGAGATTTCAATAAATTATATGTTATTTCATAAATTATGGGAACGAAATAATGTTGTTATAGACAATATTTTTGCCTTTAATGTGGCTCTTGTTATTATACAGAATGAGGATCCTGAACCACAGTCGGTTAAAGACTATCAAAATAAAAATGATTGACCAAAATGGAAAGAAGCCATACATGCGGAATTGAATTCTTTGGAGAAATGAAAAGTGTTTGGACTTGTAGTTCAAACACCTGAAAATGTAATCCCTGTTAGATACAAACGAGTTTTTGTACGAAAGAGAAATGAAAATAATGAAATGACAAAGTACAAAGTCCGACTAGTAACTCAAGGTTTCTCACAAAGACCAGGAATTGATTATGAAGAAACATATTTTCCCGTAATGGACACCATCACTTTTATATTCTTAATTAGTTTGATCGTATTACAAAAGCTTGATATGCGTTTTATGGATGTAGTAACTGCATATTTGTATGGTTCACTTGATAGTGACATATTTATGAAAGTCCCCGAAGGACTTAAGATATCAGGAACAAACGATACATGCATGAGAACTATATTCTCCTGAAGAACTATGTTTTCAATTAAATTGTAAATATCATTATATGGATTAAAACAATCTGGACGCATGTGGTATAATTGCCTTAGCGAATATTTGTTGAATGAGGGTTATAAAAATGACGATATCTGCCTATGTGTTTTTATTAAAAAAAAAAAAAACAAATAGTGGATTTGCAATTGTGGCAGTTTATGCTGATAATTTAAATTTAATTGGAACTCCTGAAGAGCTCAACAAAATTGCTGATTATTTGAAAAATGAATTTGAAATGAATGATTTGGGAAAAATCAAATTTTGTCTTGGATTACAGATTGAACATTTCGCAGATGGATTATTTGTTCACCAATCTACGTATAAAGAAAAAGTTTTAAAACGTTTTTATATGGATAATGAACATCCATTGGCATTACCTATGATTGGTCGATCATTTGATACGAAAAATGATCTATTTCGTCCACTTGAAGATGGAGAAAATACTCTTGGTCTTGAAGTACCATATCTTGGTGCAATTGGAGCATTAGCTTATCTTACAAATTACACTCGACTCGACATAGCTTTTTCTATAAATCTCCTTGCAAAATATAACTTTACACTAATTCAAAGACATTAAAAAGATGTTAAACATATTTTTCGTTACCTAAATGGTACTATTGATTTGAGATTATTTTATTCTCAAAAGTCAATATCTGCTTTAGTGGGATATGTGGATGCAGATTATTTGACCCACATAAAGTTAAATCACAAACAGGTTATGTGTTTACACGTGGAGGAACGGCTATATCATGGAGATCTGTGAAACAATTCTTGATAGCTACATCTTCAAATCATTCTGAAATTATTACAATCCATGAAGCAGGCNTGGATTGCAGATTGAACATTTCTCAGATGGATTATTTGTTCATCAATCTACGTATACAAAAATGTTTTAAAACGTTTTTACATAGATAATGCACATCCATTGGTATCACTTATGGTTGTTCGATCACTTGATGTGAAAAAAGATCAATTTCGTCCACTTGAAGATGGAGAAAAAGTTTTTGGTTTTGAAGTACCATATCTTAGTGCAATTGGAGCATTAACTTATTTTACAAATTACACTCGACTCGACATAGTTTTTTCTGTAAATCTCATTGCAAGATATAGTTGTACACCAACTCAAAGACATTGAAATGATGTTAAACATATTTTTCATTACCTAAAGGGTACTATTGATTTGAGATTATTTTATTCTCAAAAGTCGGAATCTACTTTAGTGGGATATGCAGATGCAGGTTATCTATTTGACCCACATAAAGCTAAATCACAAATAAGTTATGTGTTTACACGTGGAGGAACAACTATATCATAGAGATCTATGAAGCAATCCTTGACAGCTACATCTTCAAATCATTCTGAAATTATTGCAATCCATGAAACAAGCGGAGAATGGGTATGGTTGAAAAACACGACCCATCATATCTAAACATCATGCGAATTAATTTCAACAAAGGATAGTCCAACAATTTTGTATGAAGATAATGCAGCTTGTATTCCACAACTCAGAGAAGGCTATATCAAAGGTGATAGGACAAAGCATATTTCTCCAAAATTCTTTCATACACATGAGTTTCAAAAGAATGGTGATAGCGATATCCAACAAATTCGCTCAAGTGACAATGTGGGCGATTTATTCACAAAAGTACTGCCAACATCTACATTCAAGAAATTAGTTCATGAGATTGGGATACGCCGACTCAAAGATTTTCAGTGATTAACATCAGGGGGAGTAGCTGTACTCTTTTTCCTTAGCTTAGGTTTTGTCCCACTGAATTTTTCTAGCAAGGTTTTAATGAGGCAGCATTTATTTTTAGTACTCTAAAATAATTATACTTTTTTTCCTTCGTTTGATTTTTTTCCCATTGGGTTTTTATCAAACAAGATTTTAACGAGATAGATATTTTGTAATTTATCATTTAAGGGGGAGTGTTGTAAAAGGAAAGATTATTAGAATTTAGAGGTGAATGACAATTACTATTGTATCCCTAGTTTTGCCTTATAAATACAGGATTTTGATTCTTAATAAAACACATAAACCTATTGACTTCTCTCTTCTTAACTTTTATAACAAATATTTATTTATTGATTCAAATATCTTAAATTATCTAATATTCTTTTTTAACAAGTTAAATATAAGATTTACATGAACTTTTCATGCATTCTTAATATTTATATAGTTGTATAGATATAATATTTTGTTATTTTATTTCAATTTTTTATTAAAATTTTCTTTGTCATGTTTTTCAAAGACAATTTAATGTTTAAAATATTTTAAAATTTTATAATATCAAAGTAAGATAAATATATGATAAAAGTTTGTGATAATGATAACTTAGTCCCCGTTTGGTAGCAACTTTTCACTCCAAAAAATCAAAATTTTGACCGTTATTTCACCATTTTTAGCCATCATTCTTTATTTTTTCACTAAAACGTAGACACACTTTTCTTTTTAACAGTCAAAAAATCAATTCTCATAATCACTACCAAATATATTTTAGTACTATTAACCTAAGTTCATGTGAAAGACTAAGTTGACAGATTTCTTAACGTCCACGTCAGCAAATTTTGTTTCATTTTTTATCGTCACACTAAAGTAATGGTTTAATTGCCATTAAAAGTGAAGTTCAATGACGCAATTGCTACTAATTAAAGTTAAATGACTTAACTGCATTTTGATGTCAAAGTTTGATAACTTTCCTGTACAATTATCCTATTTTCAGAAAACATTATATTAATTTATTTGTGAAATTAGATATTTTATATAATTTATAATCTTAGATATTGTCTAATAAATAATTTAAATTGTATATAATATTATATTACTTCAAATGCAGTTAGGGATTGGTGGCTTTATTATTATTTTTTATTTTTTTTTCCCGCACGATTATGTCAACTTATGCTCATGTAGAAATTAGAATACATTGCTCCGATAAGAAAAAGTCTATAGTTTTCCATGAGAACTCATTGGAGCATTCTCAATAGAAATCTAGAGCTTCAAACCATTCATTTTTATCTTTTCATAATTTAAATTGTTTATAAACTATTTTCAAATCTTTCTTCACAATAGAGGAAGATAAAATATATTCAAAACTCTTTAACTTTTCAAATAATAAATAACAATCAGGGGCTAATTAATATCACTTTCGGTTGGTTTCAGAAATAGAGTTGATCATGTTTTATAAGCTAATCACGTTATTCTTTTTTTTTTTTTTAATGACGGGAACCCGCGGCCACTACTCATCGGGTTTGCACTGCGTAAACCCTCGGGCTGATGCAATGGCCTGTAAACTACGCCAATCAGGTAAACCGCACTAAGCAAATTCGGTGCGATAAACTCGGCCGAAAAAGTGTTTATAGGGGGAATTGAACTCGTGACCAAAGACCTCCGCGTTCATCTACTCCATTAACTCGGCCACCTCAAGAGGGACTGCTAATCACGTTATTCTTATACCATGAAAAACATGAGATGGCAGTTTTCAACTTGACATGACAAACAAGGGAAAACAGAGAAAGGAGGAAAATGGATAAACCAAAAACGTGTGTCTTATCCTTTCCTACAAGAATACCAACTACACAAATGGCAACAATATTTCGTACTATATATTCCAAATTCATCAACTTTTTGCTTTGCTTAATTCGTGGGAACATTTATTTATCATAACAGTCGTGCAAACATTAAGGATCTGTTTGGTAGTGATTATGAGAATTGATTTTTTTATTGCTAGAAATAAAGTGGATCCTATCTATGAGCAAAAAAGTAAAAAAAATGATGATTGAAATAGTGAAATAACGATAAAAATTTTATTTTTTGGAATGAAAAATTGTTACAAACGGGGCTAAGATTGATGGTGACACCAACATGCAAACATTAATTTATGGGACCATCTTCAACATAGGATTTTGGTGACACCAACCTGCAAATGATTACAAAAAAATCATTCCAAGGGTCGTGATTCAATTTTGATATATTTTTTTTTAAAATATAAAAGTAAAATTTGAAAATCATATTCAAGATTGCAACTCACTTAAAACTACAACTAAATAAACTAATAAGAACGGTGTAACTTATCTATAATATTATTAGACAAGGAAATGATTGGAACATAGTGCTAATTTATGATATGTATATAGGATGTACTCAATGTATTCGAACATGTCCCACCGATATTTTAGAAATGATACATTGGAATCGATGTAAAGCTAAACAAATTACTTCTACCTCAAAGATGGAGGACCGTGTTGGTTGTAAGAAATTTTTAACATAAAATCAAATAATGTCCTAAGTTGAAGTATATTTGATCATTGATGAACCATAAAACAAAATGAATTTGATGTTGTTGCATTCTATGATATTTTTTCCAAAACTTTAAAATAAAAAAAGGAACAAAAAATTTCGATAATACTAACCGCTATTAAGTCTTTCCGAAATATCTTGTTCTCACAAGATCTGTAATACTTTGGACTTAATATATTCAATGGATTTTTCTAAATTATATTAATTTACATATCCAAAAGGTACAATTTAAATGGGTGTCGATAGATTGGGTGGATGAGTTCGGTTGGGGAAGATGAAATTTTTCTAAATTCCTTTTTTATTTGTTAATATGTATTTAATTATTTAAGTGAAATTTATTTATACTTCTTGAAAAGTTTTATTTTGTTAATATGTATTTAATTATTTAAGTGAAATTTATTTATACTTCTTGAAAAGTTTTAGAACTCTATTTGTAATTTTCCTTATTTTTTGTTGTTTTACTGGTATCTTTTATTTTTGTTTATTTAATAAAATGACAAATTCGTCATTTAATGGTCAAAATGAAGGGAACGACAAGTTTTGTTACATAATTAAGTGTTGGGGGATTAATTATGCTAAAATAAAATAAAAAAATCAAGTGTAAATTTGTTATATTTCGTAAAGGTTGATGATGAAAAATACAAATTTTCCTTAAAAAAATTATGCCCCTATTTGTATTGATTTAAATTAGAGTCAAACAATCAACATTAACTACAAATTTTATGGGTCCTGTAACTGTTTAATCACACATTTCAAAATCTTTTATCAAAATTATTAAAAATCTAATTTTATTCTCCACCAAACTGGACTAAGAATCCAAAGATGTCTTAAAACATATATATTTTTTCAATATATCGTCCATGTTTGATAGAGATTAAAATTTAGATTTAAATTTAAGTCAAAGTAAACAACTAATTTTAATAACATATTTTATAAGATCTATAACTTTTTAATCATATATTTCATTAATTTTTATTAAATTTTTGGAAAAAAAAAATTGAATTTAGTCCCAAAAAGGGGCGTCAACATCTTTTCTTGAAACAAAAATTTAGAAGAATTAGTTGACCTACACCGTCGTCAAAATTATCTAACTTCGTGGGTCCTACCATCTTTGTAACTGGCCTATATATTAGGATAAATTACCTACGTCTCTTCTCTCATAAATTTTCTATTGTTTTCAACTTCCTATTTTTAAACATATTTCATCTTTATTTAACTTTTCCAATCAAAATAACTTTTAAATTAATGGGAAAAAAATTTACCCAAGAAAATATCGTATATAATAAATTTCCTCTTTACTTTTGCTATATAATTCTAAATAAAGTATTCATTATGTCAAATATGACACATCGAAACAAAGAGCCATCACACAAAATATGATAAACAAATTATCATCCATAATAAATTTCCTCTTTACTTTTGCTATATAATTCTAAAAGTTATCATTATTGTTTCGATAGTACAATCATAAATATGATAAGCAAAATTATTAATAATTTGATAACAAACTTCGCAAGTGCTTAATTGTTCATCGTTAAGCTGTCACTAAATTTCGAAAATAGTTCAAGAGACATATGACAAAGTCGAAATAGAGAAATAATGTATCGTGTTACTAATTATAGTACATTAGCAACACAAATAAAAGATCAACTTTACATGTTCATATTAAGCTCGGGTAAATTAAATTTCTTTGAACATACCTCGTGGAAAATGGATTTAATGCCTGTTTGGTGGACAGTATTAGATAAAAGACAAAACAAAATAAGATGATAATTTTTAACTTGATGTAATAAATATGAAAATATACTGAAAATGGATAAGCCAAAAAACGTGTTTCATATCCTTTCCAACTAAATTATTCTATTTATTTAAGAAAGGATAAATTGAATATAATTAAAGCAAACAAGATCAATGAACAATACAAAAGCAACAATATTTCCTACTAAATATTCCAAATTGATCAATCTTCTGCTTGGCTTAATTGATGGGGGCAGTCAGTCATATGGTGACACCAGTCTGCAAATATTTTACAAACCACATTGCAATTGGGGTATAATTTGCTATACAAACAAAATTAAAATTAAACTCATATGGTATCAAACATGCTTCTCTAACATAAATGATGAACTCAATTGAATGTATGATAGAAAGGTAAGATTCAACAAACTAAAATTACTTACTAGAAAGTTAGATACCATCAGATATGGAAGTACGTTTGAGGAACCTGACCACACGACAAAAAATAACGTGAGCGAAAGAATTTAGTAAAATCAATCATTTATTTATTGAAACCAAGTTTTAATTCGATGATGTATTCTATATCAGAGGGCCCTAATTTGTGTTAAATAAAAATAATTTTTCAAGAATTAAATTATAGATAAGTTACAATAATTTGAACTTTTTCAAGAATTAAATTATAGATAAGTTACAATAATTTGAATTAATAGGGTTGAAAGCAGGATCAAATTAACCTCCTCTCTTTTCGCTTCTCTAGAAATTTCTTCAATGAATTTCTCCTGGCATATGGTAAACCTGCACAATCCATCAAAATATGTGCAAAAAAAAATAAATAATAATAAAATAAAATAAAAAGGAAATTCAAAGATAAAACAAAGTCCATATTCCCATAAAAAAAGTAATTTAACAAAACATAATACTTACACTTTCCAAGGTTTCTCAAAAGATCTTGTTCATACGAAATAACTGATACTTCGAAGTTCAAGTATTCAGCAAATTTTGCGACTTTTGCTTCATCAGCAAGTGTCTGCACCAGTAAATTCATCATTTGATTATATTATTTGAGAAAATTATAGTGCAAAAGCCAAAAAAGAAAAAGAAAAGGGGGATTAAAACGTCACAAAGAGACCTTGTGGGTAAAAAAATCAAGATCAAAATCAAAGATCTTTCCATCGTAGACAGTCATCGTTTGTTCAGTTTCAGCAATGGCATTATGACCATAACTCGGCCTGGATAATCAAAAAACTAAAAAAATTGATAAAAACTATAAACATAAGAAATAAAAGAATTTTCGACATACATACATAAAGGTAGGCGCATGAAGTTTCAATGGTGAGTAATAAGGGTGACTCTCCAGCCCAGGAGATTTATCCGCACCAAAAGTAGCAGATTGAATCACACTCTTCACAATCTCCGGACTGAGCTTGGATACAATGCCACGAAAGCTTCGTTTTCTTTCAGCAGCAGAAGAGTTCCTGTCCCTGTCTCTCTCCCTCTCCATGCTGAAAAAATCCAGTTCCACAGGTGATCTGGACATGGGTTTGATTAGTCTGGATCAGTTTAGGTTGAAGAAGTTAAGGTGTAGGGATAAGGAACCAACAACCTTAAGAGAATACTAATACGTTCCTAGTATATAGGAACGAAGAGGAAAATGAGAGAAGGAAGACTTGTATGCACGCCAAAGTAGGAAGTATAACGTGTGTGTGTGAGAGTGAGTGAGTGAGTAGGGGAGAGACTATCCGTTTATCTGGATCTTTTGAAACCTAAGAAACATTCAATCCATATCCCTTTTTATTTTTATTTTTTCTGATAACATTTTATTAAGTATTTAATTTATTTTCTAAAATTTATACTTTTTAGGTGAAATTAATTAAATTGTATAGAATATATTTTAGGTATTGACTGTCACTCTGTCAGTGACATAACCTACGTCAAAGGCAGACACAAGCAAAAGTGCAACCCAAGTCTGTTTAACTAAGAAGCAGCAGATTATATATACAGAAGGAGAGTCACGGAACCTCTTCAAATAAGACACAGCAGTGGGTGATTATCTATTTATTTTTATTTTTTTGCAACAAAATATTCACATGGGACTCGTCCCTATGTGAGAGTTCTCTAAGCTTTTTGTGAAGACTGTTTCTGTACACAGGGAATTAATGAACTAAGACATGTTGGAAAAATGAGTCGAAGGCTAACTTTAGCAAAAATTTTGAGTGGGACCTATTTGTTTATTTTGGAAGATCAAAATTGATTTGTGTGTCTCCTCCGTGAGAACATCGAAATTATATATTTATTTGTCAAAAATGATGCTCGGGTGAATAAGAAATTAGAGTTCAAAGTGTGTCAATTGAAAGAAGTTTGTGTGTTAAAGGGAAACTAATTAAAATCTGTCCCACATAGGAAAATAATGAAGGTAAAGACTACTTTATATAGAATTACACTTTGAAAGTGTAAGTATTATCATGTGTAACATAGATGCTCTCTTCATGTGCACGCGCAAAAAGGTACAAATCACTTACCGAAACAGGCTTTGAACTTATAACTTGTGTGCGAGCGCGATCTGTGTACACGAATGTCAGACCGGATTGACCAAAAATTGTTCCTTAGGAGGGCCTACGTTTTACCAATTTTTTTCACCAACTAACCTTTTAAATTTCAAAACTGTTGAAACTCCAATAGTTATTGTCATTATAATACAAGTTAATGATATACTTATGGACATAATTAACTCACCATTCATGGTGTTAAGTCTATATGTGAGAACCTGTTTTTTCACTATTAAACACATGAAGCAATACAGTTTCTTTTAGTTTGCATACTGCATAGATTTACAGTTCCTTGTCTGTCCAATTTTCTTGTTTTGGTAATATTGATCTGACACAAGTTCTGCTTGCCAGAGTGGTAATTGAGGTGCTCAAATTCTATCAGTTCCTACATTCTATCTTGTGAGACATAGTTCCGAACTAAATCTCAAACATCTACGATAACGGGGCGAAGCTCTTTCAAAAAGAAACTATATTCACACATGCCTCGATTTCAAATTTCATTTCATTTTTTATTACTTGCTTTGTGGTAATTTAGATTAACTTGTTCTATTTTATTGTAATTAACAAAATTATTTAATCTGCTATATTTTAGCTAATATTCGGTAAGCTATTGCAAATCGAAAATTCTGTTCATTGCATATCCGGTATGTGCAAATTCGATATTCTAGTTCGTCGCATATCCAGTGTGTGCAAATTCGATATTTTTGTTAGTTACAAATTCGATATGTGTCCATCCAATATTTATTACAGTCAATAATATTTTTTTAATCCTAACAAGACACAATGAAAGCTAGAATAGGGGACATAACCGGGCTCAACTGGTGGTAAAAAAGCAAAGGTCGGTAGGGAGGAGCTACAATGCAATGCTATGAAAATTTGTATCATTTTTATCAATAAAACTAAATTCCTAAGCCAAGGCAAAATCCAGGGCCCACTTTTGGAGGGGTGGCTGCTGGATACCACGAAATAATACTATTAAATTCAATTCTAATAACCATAGTCAACCAGCTATTTAAGCTCGTTATAGGCCCCGTTTGGTAGGGATTTTGAGAATTGATTTTTTGACCGTTAAAAGAAAAGTGGGGACCACATGTGAGAGAAGAAGTCAAAAATTACGGCTTGAATAGTAAAATAAAGGTCAAAAAATCAATTTTTTGGGACAAAAAATCCCTACCAAACGGGGCCATAATTATGAATGTTCTGCAACGGTGTTTAGAACCTATCCCTACAACGTATAACATAATTTGTAATAAGTTTGGAAGAGGTGACACCATTGTTAAAATTAGAAGATTAAAAATGTTAGTTTAAATATATGCACCCACGTATATGTAAAAAGTAGAGGCCCCACATTCATATATTTAGAATAATTCTGAGCAGACAAGGAAAAAAGGTGAAAAAATAGACTGATGTGGCAGTTTATGACTGAGTGCTTTTATATTTTTTCCCCATTTTCAATGAAAATTGTTGTCTGAAAAAGAAATTCTGTCACTCACTTTAGTAATGTAGCATGATTGTTATATTTGTCAGTACATAGAACGACAAGTCCTCCGCCAAAACAAGTTTATGATCTTGTTTGAGTCCATTTTTTTCAAAAATTCACTTATTTCAAAACTTATTTTTAACCACACATTATCTTATAAAATAATTTTACACATAAATTAAATTTTTTTCTTATTTTTTTATCCACACATTCTTCAAAAAATACTTTCAAAATTCTTTTTTCTACTCAAAGTGGGACTCAAACAATGACTAAAATTAATTGGAAAATGCTGGCTGTACAGGCCCTATACAAACCAGACACATTCGGAGTGGGCGTGCGCGATTATTTAAAAGAAGAAATAAATTTCACCCACCCCTCTTGCACGTGTGTGCCTTGTATAGGCTCTGTGAACAGCTAGCATGGTTCAAATAAATTATACAGGGACCCACCTTTACTTTGTGATCCATTTTTGCCTTGGAAGAGAGAGGAATGAGTTCCATCCCTACAAGGCATTCTTGTAGTACGTTGCGTTCTTACGAAACAACACAAAGAAAGTTTTTTGGTAATATCCAATAATTAAATTAATATTACATCTTTGTTCATTAGCCGATAGAAGTACCTTGCTTCCTGTCCCGGCTTAGGGACAGGGTTAAAAATAGGTGCGCCACATGTTTTTAATCCTGTCCCCAAGTCGGGATAGGTGATTTTATCCCCAATAGACATGGCGCTCCTGTTTTTAAACCTGTCCCCAAACCGGGACATGTGATTTTATCCCCAGTAGAATTGGTTGAACCCAATATTCACAGAAAATAATTTGTATAATAATAACAATAATAAATTTTGAATTTACATGTAATTTTTTATTGAAAAGATTTGTAATTAAAAATAATTTTAAAAAATATATATTTACACAATAGAGCTCAAACAGAGATGCTATACTCAAAGGATCTGTTTAATTGCAAAGATGAAATTTAGGTAAAAGAAAACGTATTGAAAGGAATTGAATTATCTAAAATTTGTTTTAGTGAAAATTGTCAATTAATAGTGTTAGATTGGTATAATTTTTCGCCTGAAAAATTTAAAATAAAAGCGTCTTTTGGTGTTCGTTTGACTTTATTTTTCATGAAAATTGTCAATTTAAAGGATATTCACTTCTAAAATTGTTTCTAAAATTTGTTTCCATTGCCCAAAAAAATAAAAAATCATTAATATTTTGGTATTCGTTTGACTTTGTTTTATATGAAAATTGTTAATTTAAGAGATATCATCTTTTACAATTATTCCTAGAATTTGTTCCCATTACCAAAATTTAAAAAAAAATGAAAAAAGAAGAAAAAGGTGTAATCCACCAAAATAAGGAAAATGCACGCGTGAGCAAAACATGGAAAATAAATTCCATGAAAAAGAAATGCAATTAAACACCTAAAAAGTTGAAAAATGGAATTCAATGTCTATCAAACAGGGCCTAAAGGTATTTTCAAAATAAGGATTCACTATAAATAATCTATCATAACCCTACTTGAAATTAGTAAATTATATTATGCCATACAGTGAACATGGATAGATTGTAGAATCACTTAAATTTCTGTATATCGATCTATTTTAATGTTCAATTTGCACAACAATCTTTGAGCTTTTTGATATAACTTAAAAATCAAAATTTTGACCGTCATTTCACTATTTTAGCTATCATTTTTGAATTTATCTTTCCCAGGCAGGACCCACTTTATCTATAACTGTCAAAAAATCAATTATTAAAATTCCAACCAAACAAACGCTTTATTTATAAAATAAAAGCACGACCGTTGTCAAAATTACTTTCCTATCAAATATTTACAAAGAGCCATTGCACAAACTTGGACAAACTTTCAGCCGAAGCTACTCTTGGTGTTAACTGTTCCAGCACCAGCCCAAAGATCAAGCTTCAACTTGACCCAACCGAGTCGGCACTGCTTAACATCCACAAATAGAAGTCCAAAGATACAAAATCGACAATCATAATCACTTAATTTTTAATTTAATTCACTACTTTAGCAGTATAAAACATAGCATAATAAACACAATACCACAGTACTGTATACAATCAGTTCATGTCAATAGCAACAATAGTCTCCAACATTCATAGTTAGGGAGAAATTGTAGGGAAATATGCATATACTGCAAAGAGCATGTTGCATTGTGCTTAAAAGTAACTTAAAAACATTAGTTACTTTTAACTAAAGCTAAACATGCTCAAAGCTGCAAAAGCTAGGCTATCATAGTTCACTGGACACAATAGAACATTTCACACATACGGCAACATCAAAAGCTGTATTTATTTGGCATCCAACGGCCTAAAAGCAGCAGCAGCACTCCTCCAACACACAGCAACAGCAAAGAGCTGCCAAGCTGCAATAAATCATGTTATTAGTCCAATCCAACCTAAGTTCATTGAATAATGTTATTTAGAACCACTTGTGATAAATCACTAATCTAGTTGGTACTAATATGATATTAAATGCTAAGTACAATAAAAATGAGTAATTTAATTCCACCTTTGATCGAGTCTATCACATTATCACATAGCATCACCTAGTTGGTACTAATGTGATATTAAATGCCAAGTACAATTAAAATGAGTCATTTAATTCCACCTTCAATCGAGTCTATCACATAGAACCACCTTGCCTGGTGTTATAGAACCATTAATGCTATATAACAATAATCAAGTTCATTTGCATCCCTTAAACTACTTTATGAACCTGTTGTTAATTTGTCTAGCTTATTTTATAAATCTATGGAAAGGACTCCATCACGCTCAAGCCAAAGTTCCACTTGGTTCATGAATTCATTGGGTTTTCAATTGACAGCATAAAATAGAACTGGAAATGCAAGATATGGTTTTGAAGAGTTCAATAGTCGAGATCTTCTTCCAGCAGTCCCCTCAAATATATCATAAAAGAAAAGTAAGACAAAAAAAAAAAAAAAAAAAAAAAAAAAAAAAAAAAAAACAACTCTAAACTCCATCCCCAAGAAAGATCTGAGCTTCTTGAAATTATGCCAAAAACCTCGAAGTTCGAGAGATCCATATTGACAATTAGGAACCAAGACAAGATAATTACAAGACATCAATTTAACTATTATCAAGAACAGGGAATGCTTCCATGCTTATGAGGTAAAAAGAGAGAATTGAGAAATTCTGGTGTAGATTAAGGCAGGTTGAATAAATAGCCCTCTAGTTAGCAAAAATGGGATATGGTGAGATTCGTAGGTGCGAAATACAAGAATAAGTAGCAGCTCCATTCCAACTATTTTCTAACAGTAGCCAACAATATCCCAAAATCACAGTTGTGGGATGAACTAAAGATCAATTTCCAAGTTTAATATACTAAATTTGATCTTTAATTTTCCTTGCTCAAATATAGTTTTGAACAATTAAATATATTCGGAATATTTCTATCACAAAGGAGGAGGTTTTCGGCCTCGGAACCATCGGATTTCTCTTAAATATCGGCCACTCACCACTTTATTATGATTTTCCAACACAAATTTTAAACGACTTAACATATTTCGAAGAATTATTCTCAAAACTAGAATTGTTAGTTGCGGTCTACACTAGTCAACTATAAAATCTATGGGAGGGATCTAGTATTTATGTATATTGAGTAGGTAAATTTATCAAATTATAAGTGAAATTTAGATTAAAACTAAATTATGCCGATGCATAATTAATTGAATAATTTGTCGAATCAGAGGGGGGATGACGTACCATCCCTTGAGAAATGAGCAACATCCACTACTGTTCTCATGCTGGTGGGTGTGCTGCGGTGGTGGTAGTGGTGGAGGGTAATCATTATTGAAGTAGCCCTGATAAGAAGGGGGGCCAGGAGGTGGAGGTGGAGGCGGAGGAGGATACCCGTACCCCGGCGGAGGAGGCGGCGGTGGGTAGTCTCCTGGTGGCCGATTATACCCTAAAAATGATATAATAAAATTAAACAATATTTATATGCAATAAACACAATTAAAAAGTTTATTAACTAGAAATTTGATGGATTCTTGCCTGGTGGAGGATGGGGTCCTTGATGAACATGCTGATAACTCATGGTTACAGATAGCAGAACCGAGATCAGGGAATTTTTTGGGAGGAGAGGAGAGGAGAGGAGAGGTGGGGAGAAAATTTTATGATAAATAAGAAAAATAGTTTAATGGACAAGACTTCACTGTCTTGGCCAGTCACGTGTCGCATGGAAAATTGAGCTACCACTCAATTATGTCGAAAAAAAAATAAAAAGTTGCAGATGTAATTCCAATTTTTTCAATTTTCTGCAACTTTAACTCAAATATTTCTTTTGTTACAACTGGGGTCTCAAACCTTTTATTCTCTACAATGAAACAATTTAAAAAGGTGAAATAGTAATTTTATATTTTTTCACATTTAATAATTAAATTAAAAAAGTTCGCATTCTTTATCCACTCTATCTCAACCAAACCAAATCAAACCAAAGAATACCCATTCATAGCCGCACAGTCTGCAACCACCACTGTAACCAAGAGAAGATATTTCATTTCAAATCCAACAACAATTGGAATTCGATCGCTTCATTGCTCAATGAGTAAGATGTTTAATATCTCAATTTATTCTTTTATTACTGTAATCATTTTCGTTGTAAATATTATATGAATTTACTATTAACTGGATATTTTGTAACAGATTGAGAAAGTTAGGATGGAAATGGAAGGCAAATGAGATATTCAAGGATCGTGACAGCTATTAGAGGCAACATAATGAAGAAATTGAAAGCAAAATAAGATGAAACTGAAAAAATTGGAAAATTGGAAAATTAAACTGCGTCTTGGACGGGAGATAGAAGTCCATGTGTTTAGAGAATCAAATATGAATCGATTTGGCACAAACAAATGAAGCCATCACAATAACTTTGACATGCAATCTTAATCAGGTTCTAACTCAATTCCAAGCCATCACAATCATCGCCTTCACGCCATCAAGGAATTAGATGGTGGCGGCGGCGGCTATGGATTAGCGAGTTTTGGTTTGGGTTGGGTTGGATTGGGGTGAAATTTGGGAAGAAGTTAATTTTTTTTCTTTTCACTATTTATTTATTTTGTGTAAAAAGTACAAAATTACTACTTTTTTCGCTTCTCAAATTACTCAAGCGGTGGTCAAAATTATATTTCTTAGTAAATTAATGGACATTCGTCGCTAGAAATAAAAAGTTTTGGACCTTGAGTACAATATATAAAAATTAGAATGAGAGTTGCAAAATATTAGAACTGACAACTATTCCGGAGAAAAATATGGTTTGCACGGCTCCCATGACACGAGGAGCTTCAGATTTGAGATAGCGCAAGTTTTGGATTATTAACGACGGCTAAGATTGTTAATTTTTATTGTAATCTATGTTTAACTTTCTTCATTGTTTGACTAATAAAATTGGGAAAGACTAAGGGTTGATTTTACCTTTGAAGTTTACTAGTTGGTTTCGTTTGATTTTTTTGCAAAGTGTGCACAAAATTAGGCTGAGGCACGACCCCTCGATTCTATTGTAGGAAGATTAATTTTTGTGTGTTCGAAACTTGTGAGAGATGCTCATATATATATATATATATATATATATATATATATTTATATTTATATTTATATTTATATTTATTTATTTATTTAACAAAGATAGTCGAGAAAATTAGTGGTGTAAAAAATGCTTTAATACTTTTTTAAGTGTCTAAATATAGCTAAACGGCAGAGCCAATGACAATGAGTTGTGATGGGAAGGAGATGGTTGCTAGATTCAGAGGGTTCAAAAACTTGTGAACGATGAGAATGAAAACTTGAAAATTCATCAATTTAAAAGATAGGAGAAGCACAATCCCAACTAAGGAATAACTTACTTCTAGTATATCACTTCTTATTTTGAATGATCATGCATGTCAACTTTTCTCAACAATACTCTCCATCTTTTCGCCTACTTATCCTTAGGAGGAATAGCATGATAAAAATAAAGGTAATCTACCCAATTCACTCCTTGCGCCCTCATAACTTAGGACGTTAGTATTAAATTAAAAAGTCAATCGAACGTAAGTTTATCTTATAGTTTGAGCCTTGAATTGGAGTGGATTGCATTTGTATCAATTAGGGTTCTTTCTTCCCTTTGTTACTAGATGTTGAGACAATATTTTATGTATGTAAAACCATATTATCCAAATTAATGTTCTTTAAGAGTTAGGATATTGTAAAAAGTCAATAACCAAATACACTAAGAAAAGAATGGAGTGGTTAAATCTACAAAATTTTATTTATGATAATAATATCCAACACGCAATAATGTGGACAGACATGAATACGTGGGAGCTCAGTATTTTTCGATGTGGAAACATCATAAATATTTGCTACCCACTGGTAAAATCATATACATCATTCTAGAAGACTCACGCGGCTAAGGTTCTATATTTCTACGAAACTTAATCACAAAGTAAACAGTTCTTGTTATATATAATAGATCTAACAACGAATGATAAAAAAACCCTCTTTGATTTGAGTTACAGTTGAAATTTGAAAATCATGGCAGGCACACCTGAGAAAAATAAATCATATCCAGAATCTCCATCTTCTCCAAAAGCTAAAGAGCCAGAGGTTCACCAAGATACGCAGAAATGGGGCACTCACGTTATGGGTCAGCCGGCGGCACCAGAAGTTCACCCAGATAATCAGAAAGCAGCCCTTTGGACCCCTGAAGGCCCACACCAGTACTACCACAACCACCCTTATCTCGTCTATTCCCCTGTCGAGAAACCCGCAGATAACCCTTTTGAATATGTTGTCAACATGTTCAATTCTTGGAGTCAAAAAACTGAGACCATAGCCCGTAATATCTGGCACAACTGTAAGTCCCGAAGTTATTATTTTTACACTTGATTAAGAGTATCTGAGGATTAAAACATTGTTTGATTGATTGATTGAAGTGAAAACTGGACCATCTGTGTCGGAAGCTGCTTGGGGGAAGGTTAATTTGACTGCCAAGGCTTTAACAGAAGGGGGATTTGAGTCTATGTTCAAGCAGATTTTTCCTACTGATCCAAATGAAAAGCTGAAGAAAACATTTGCCTGTTATCTTTCCACTACAACTGGCCCAGTTGCTGGAACTCTCTATCTTTCAACGGTTCGTGTGGCTTTTTGCAGTGATCGTCCATTATCTTTCAGAGCTCCATCTGGGCAAGAAACTTGGAGCTATTACAAGGTAAGTTGTCGATTCTCTTAACAGTTTAAAACCGTTTTGAAATAGTATTAATTAAAGAATATGAACAGGTGATGATACCTTTGGGAAACATTGCATCTGTGAATCCTGTGGTTGTGAGAGAAAATCCACCGGAGAAATATATTCAGATTGTGACAGTCGATGGACATGAGTTTTGGTTTATGGGTTTTGTGAATTTTGAGAAAGCAATTCATCATCTGTTGGATTCTGTATCAGATTTTAGGGCAGCTGCTAATGTGGTGGTTCAACCAGTTGCTGGCTAAATAATGCATCAATTTCTCTTTGTTTATATGTTTTAGACAGTTCTGATTGCCTGATTTTGTAATTTTTTTTTTTTTAATTTTTGTTTTTCGTTTTTGAATATTTATGTTTTGTGTTAACATAAATGGTTTAACTATCTATTAAGATTTAACTCTAATTGATAATTGACGTTTAAATCAATTATATCAAATAATTCAAAGATATTTAGATATCTATGTTATGGCTAACTTCACTTTTTATATCACCATTCACCAGCAATCAGTGCATTTAGAATATTCTGTCGCTATTCTATAAATTAAAAGGTTGAACCCGAATCTTAAGGGTCCCCCATCGTCCCTGTCCTGGAGTATCGTGAGGGAGGTAAATCGCAGGTATGTCTCCAGGGGTACAGGGTGAAAGGCTGCTTGTATATTTGCACTTACCTAAGAGCCAAATCTATATTTCAGGATTAGAACCCCTGACGTAACAACCTCAAGTAAAGTTGGATTTCTCCACCTTCCCTTTTTACCACTTGGAGATGTGCCCCTGGGGGCAAATCGCTATTCTATAAATTCATCACATGGAGGGAGGATGAAAGGCACGTTGAAGATTGTTAATTTGGTGAAAACCGTATTTGTTCCCCTTTTCTATCTATCTCTAAATCTCTTTTCTGCTTCTTCTTCTTCTTCTTCTTCTTCTTCTTCTTCTTCTTCTCTTTCATTTTCTCTAATTCTGTTTTTCTTCCTCTTCTATTTATCTGAATCTGAAGCCTCTTATCAGATTTTCTACACTTAACCCTCCCTTTCTGTTTATATTTCATTATTTCATTTTAATTAATAGAGTTATATTATGCAGAACTCTTTCAAGAATATTACAAATTTGAATTTACACGTTCTGAAACTTCACAAAAATACCATTGGACACCAAGAATAGTAACTGATTTAGGCTCAGATCTTTGTACCATTCTGTATCATCAAAGGAGGCCCTAACTCGAACCATAACCCTCACAAGTACCCAACGCGGGGTTGCGTCAATGGACAGATTTTGGACTCTGAGAACAGATTTCAGTTTACTCACATGGAGAAAACACACAGATTTCGATCTCACAAAGAGAAGAAGATCAACTTACATAGAGGAGACGAACAAACCAAGAACAGGAACCAGAAGGTTCCAAACACCTGAAGGAGAAAGAGAAATGAAAATCTTGCAAATTAGGGTTAGAAAACCAATCGACTGGAGATCTGCATCTCAATCCAACGGTCCAGAGCAACTCTCACACAATTGGACTGAATATCGGGTCGTGGTAAGTGCGCTATCTCAGATAATATTATTGGGCAAGGTTATTTGTGTAGTATGTGGGCCGAAGGCCAATATCATCATTGTTTAAAATTGTTGGACCAAGACTGGCATCACAGCCCAACAATTCTTCACCTTGATGCCAGTGGTAATACAAGCAGCTAGTTAATACATTCTACAAAACTTATTTAAAGAAAAAACACAAAAGCTTCCTAGTATTTTCAGTAAGCACCAAGTATACAACTTGCAAACACCACAGAAATTGCCCAGTATCAACATTCAACATTTACAAACTAGTTTTAAACTTTTTTGAAGGCAATAATTTTGTCTCCATGTCTGCTAGATTACATTCAGTAGCAATTTTCTCAAGAATGAAAATTTCTTTAGAGACAATATCTTTTATAAAATGTAATTTTACATCAATGTGTTTTGTTCTTTCATGATATGCTGGGTTTTTACACGTGTATGGCACTCTGACTGTTTGAATATAGTACAACAAGACTGCTTACTTTATTTTTTTCAGAAAGTAAACCTTTAAGCGATAAGGTTTCTTTGATTGCCTTAGTTGCAGCCATGTATTCTGCCTCAGTGGTAGACAAAGCTAATTGGTTGGAGTTGTGACTTCCAACAATACAAGTTCCGCACAAAGTAAACACATAGGCAGTTATAGATTTCTTATTCTCCCTATTTTCAGCAAAATCAGAATCAACAAAGCCCTTAAGTACCACACCCTCTTTGTAAGCACTAAAAGCTAAGTCTAAGTGTGATGAATCTTTCAAATACCTCAATAACCATTTTAAATCAACCCATTGTTCAGGTCTAAGGTTAGCCATGAATATGCTAAGTGTGCTAATGGAATGAGCCACATCAGGCCTAGTGCAAACCATGGTATACTTGACTGATCCTACTGCATTAGCATAGGGTATCTTTTCCATTTGTTTAATCTCAAATTCACTTACTGGACATTGGTCCTTACTTAGTTTAAAATGGCTGGCTAAGGGGAGAGTAATAGATTTTGCATTATTCATAGCAAATCTAACTAACTTTTTCTCAATATAACATGTTTGTTTTAGGCTCAATGTTCTATTACTCCTATTTCTGATTATTTCCATCCCCAAAATTCTTTTAGCATGGCTAAAGGTCTTTCATTTCAAATTCTTTCCTCAAAGATTCTTTAATATTATTGACCATGCAAGTTTTGCCCTATCAATAACATATCATCAATATACAAGAGTATAAAAGCAATACTTTCGTTTTCTTAACCACACTTAAAGTAAAGACAATGATCAAATTTACTTCTTGTAAAATCAATTATAGATACAAATTTATCAAATCGTAAATACCATTGTATTGGAGATTGTTTTAAACCATACAAGGATCTTTTTAATAAGCAAACATGTTCAGGCTTAGATTCATCAACAAAACCATGTGGTCGTTTCATATATATCACTTCATCAAGATCACAATGCAAGAAGGCCGTTTTTACATCCATTTGTTTGAGTTCAAGATTATAATGTGTCACAAGAGCAAGATAACTCTAATAGTATTGTATTTAACTACCAGGGAGAAAATTTAATTATAATCTATGCATTCTTTTTGTGTAAACCCCTTAACTACAAGTCTAGCGTTAAATTTTATATGCATTTTCTCATCATTTCCCTCATTAACAGTAAATATTCATTTACAGTCAACAATAGACTTACCAGCAGGTTAGGAACTAAGTTCCAAGTCTTATTTTTCATTAAGGAGCCCATTTCATTTTTCATAGCAACCTTCCAGTTTACAGATTGCTGGCTGTTAATAGCCTCTTCATAAATTTAGGTTCTTTAAAGACAAGATCTTGATAAGAAAGAACGGCAAGTGAAAGGTAATCCCTATACCTAATGGGTTCTTTTATCTCCCTTCTTATTCTATCTCTAAACAATTGATAATCATCTAATTCTATAGGCTGATTTCTATGCTTTCTTGCACACCTTCTTCATTTTCATAAGGATGTGAAGGATTTTCTGCCTCTTCCTCCACCTGTTCACTTAGAACAGGTTCAGATGGAGCATCAACCTCCACCCGCGATCTGGTTTTATTATTCTCTTCTTTTTCAAATTGGCAATTTGACTCAATATCATTCAAACAAGGCATTTTTGATTCATCAAAAATAACATCTCTACTTGTGATGATTTTAAAATCCTTTGTTTCCTTACTCCACAGTCTATAGCCTTTTACCCCATCAGGATAGCCTAAGAAAACACATTTAATGGCCCTAGGTTCTAACTTACTAACACTCTGATAAGAATAGGTCGCACACCCAAAAATTCTTAAATGTGAGTAATCAAGGACAGGACCAATCCATTGTTGTTCAGGTGTTTTATCACCTAGAGCACTTGAAGGTATTCTATTCACAATGTATATAGTTGTCATCAAAACATCACCCCATACGACTTTGGGAACACCAGAACTTATAAGCATACACCTCACTTTATCCAATAAAGTTCTGTTCATCCTCTCAGCAACTCCATTTTGCTGATGGGTATAAAGTGCAGTCCTATGTCTATTAATTCCAGCATTACTATAGAGCTTATCAAACTCCTTATTGCAGAATTCCAGGCCATTATCAATTCTAAGCACTTTAACTCTCTTCCCAGTTTGATTTTCTATCAAGTTCTTCCAAATTTTAAACTTTTCTAGGGTTTCAGATTTATGTTTCATTAGGTAGACCCAAACTTTCCTAGAACAGGCATCAATCAAGGATAGAAAATAATTATTTCCTCCTTGAGTGATAGAGGATGAAGGCCCCCCACAGATCAGCATGTATATACTCTAAAATAGAGGTGGTCCTATACTTTCTAGTGTTGAAATGTAGCCTATGCTGCTGACCTAAAGTGCAATTTTCACAAAAAAGGCACTTTAGATATGGAGTCCTTTTTAAACACACCCATTTTGTAAAGAATCTGTAGACCCTTCTCACCTACATGGGCTAATCTCTTGTGCCATTTTAAGGTGGCATCAAGCTCAGCACTGGAAGATTCACCATATTCATCACTATTATAGTGGCCTTAACAACATAAATTTCATTTCTTTTAATTCCCCTAAAGATGACAAGAGAGCCCTTAATCACCTTTAAGAATCCATCACCAATTTTACCTTGTAAGCCCAAATCATCCAGGTTACCCATTGAAATCAGATTCCCGTTCAAATCAGGAACATATCTAACCCTTTCAAGGGTATAGATATATCCATTTTCAAATTTCAAAGTAACCTTTCCTTTACCCTCAACTTTACAGGCTATGTTGTTTCCCATCACCGTCTCTCCTTCATTTATTTTCTTAAAATTTACTAGCCAATTTTTCCTAGAGGTCATATGGAAGGTACAACCAGAGTCCAGAATCCATTCCTGAACCTGATTTCCTTCATTAACAACATTAGCAATACGAGGGTCAGAAGTTTGTTCGGTCATAGAATAGACATTAATTGTAGTGGGTTCTACTACATTTCCTTCATCAACCCTTTTTGTTTCTGTTGGTCATAGAATAGACATCAATTGTAGTGGGTTCTACTACATTTCCTTCATCAACCCTTTTTGTTTCTGTTCATTTTTCTTTTTGTAACAGTCCTTTATAAAGTGTCCTATTTTTCCACACCCATAGCATTTTTTATTCCTGATTTTGGATTTAGATCTATCACTACTCTTAAACTTTCTCCTATCAGTAGTTCCTTGACTACTTTGACCTTCCTGAGTGGAATTAAATCTGGTTGGGGCCCTACCCCTAACAAATAGATTTTCTGGTCCAACACTATTCCTTTCAGTTT